ACTTTGATCAGTTTTCAGCATTTGTGTCCTTGCCTTTCACGTAGTACAAATTGCTTTAGCAGAGCAGTGGGGCAGGAGCCCGTGGACTGTTTTTGTAGTTGGTTTCTGTGGTGATCCTCAGCCTTCCATGAAACTGATCTCTGGGGACAGGAGCCTCTGCAGCCGCCTTAGCCTTGCTGCTGCTGGAGCCCTGGAGGAGCTGTGCAGAGCGGGCAGCCAGCAGTGACCTGCAGGGTCTGGCTCAGCAGTGCCCGCACAGCTTTGGTGGGCACTGTGCCCGTGGAGGGCAAATGCATTCCAGCCAACAGGGCACAGGCTTGGGGCTTCACAGCCCCCTTGGACCTGGATGCTTTAAAGAGCAATCTGTACGTTTTGTTCTGAGATTTTCAGAATAGCTGAAGTCTGTCATTTTCAGCTATGACCAAATCCTTGTATTCCTCACAAGTTAGTCATGAATTATTTGGAGGAGCGTGTGCCAAAGGGGGCCAGACACCAGTCTGAAGAGGAGCTTCCTCTGACAAACAGCTGCTGAAGTTGAACCTTACTGAGAGAGCCGTTGCTGACACACATGCCCAGAAGGTCTGGCCTAGCTATCGATTGCACAATGAAAGTGTTGGCTGTGCAGCAGCTTTGTGATCAGATGAGCCCTTCACTGCAAGTGAGGAATGTGTTGGACCACATTGACTTATTTTCCTGTACTGTTGTGGTGCTGTCTGCTTGGGTAATATACTGTCTCTTAATATGTTTTTAAAGTATTATGGGCAAAGCAATAGCAGCTTTTTAAATGGACTAGGAGAGCTAAAATGCCCAAGCCCATTTAATGATTCTGGTTCATTTTCTTTTGGTGTTGTTTGACCAAAATGGTCACAGACCTGTCTGAGCCGCAGAAGACTTTGAATCAAGTAGTATGTTGTTGAGAAATACCAATGTGTGTACCTTATAAGCTTGTTTGAAAATCTAGGAATGGGTGGAGGATGTCCCTTTTTGGATCTCTGATTTTTTTTTTTTTTTTAAAGCTTATGTGGGAGTTTTAGAAAAAAGTTAGGAACTTGACTACAGAGTTCACTGAGTTCAGAGTTTCACACCGTGTCTTCAAAACACTTTTTGCAGCACTGAACACACATAGGATTGGTTTCTGATGGAGTTTCTGGGCAAGATTTCCATAAATATTGAGTAATATGAATTTTGCCAGTGAAAATACAAAAAGAAAGGGAAAATTTGTAGTTATCTCTTGTGCTATTAATTAGAAACTTTTTTTTTTCTGGTGGTTTAAAGCAATTGAGTATCCTTCTGTCAGTTTGTGTTGTGCTCTAAAAGTACTGTGAACTGTAGCCATGAGAAAGGATGTGTCTTGAATAGCTCTTGAGCTAAGATGAGACAGAAAGGTGTCCAGGGAAGGGGCATCACTTGGGGCTTAGCTAATACATGGTATAACTAGAGCCACAGTGGGGACACTGCAGCAGAAATGGTGTTTTGTTCAGATTGCTGTAGGGAAAGTAGGGATGGGGATCTTCCTGTGCAGTGCTGTGGATGGAGACAGCCATGCCAGAAATTAGCAAAGGGACAAGTCAGTGGGAGCACAGCTGTGACAGCAGAAAGCTCAGCAAGGCACAGCTAAAGAACTTGTGCTTGTGTTGATGTCATAACTTTTAACACCTTAGAGTCCTGTTAAGCCTTTCAATCTCTGAAGCAGGAGTGGGAAGAGGCATTTAAATGTCTCTGATGCATATTAAAAGTCCAGGCTTTCACCTGGACTCTGCAGTTCAAACCACCCTCCCTCACATTACCACCTCTCTGGTGAGCTGTTCTGACCATGCCTGCTGTACTTGGACTGAAATTTCCCTGTGATACCCACTGACTGTAGTTATGCAGTGTAAAAAACCCAATGCTTGGCAGCAGGGTTTTGGTGTAAAGATCTTGGGTGCTGGTAACTCTCCAGCAGTTTGCTTGAAAAATTTGAAAAACTTGGTTGAAAAAGATGCATTATATACATCTTTAATTTTACAAGCTGAGGGAATAGCAACTACAAAGTCTGATAGCAGACCCAGTTGCGAAGTCTCTGATTTTCTCACTAAGGCAGTATGATTGCTCTGTGTGCTCTCATGTGACTAAAACAACAGGAAGAAATCTTCATGAATTCTAAAACATCTGTCTTGTCTGATAGATGTTGGTTTTGAACAAATTTGTCTGAGATCAGTTGAAACAGAGGTACTTCTCCATGTCCTTATTACCCAAAGGACTTGGCCTAGCTATTTCTGAGATGAAGTTTTCAGAGTGTGTTGCATGTATTGTATTATTTCTGCTTTTAATAAATAATGGAGGTTTTAAATAGCAAAAATTTTTTGAAGTTTCTAATAAGAGCCATATCTTTTACATTGACGTGCCATTTTGACAAAAACACAGCCAGGATGCAAGGCAAAGCTGAGTCCTCCTGTTGGCCAGTGCAAGAGCATTGTTACTAGTTTTTATTCTTGGTTATTTAAGCATATTAACTATATTATAAGTAATTTCATCAATATCTTGCATCAAAGGAAATCAGTTATTATTTGGCATGGAAATACGTTGGATGCACTTTATGCCATTTGAAGCTAAAAAAATCATCATGGAATTTGAGCTCATATTTCTGAGATCAGAACTTCAAAAGATATAACTGGACTATTTTACTAAACTGAGATTACAGTGTTTTTATTGTTTTGTGAGAAAACATAAGCCTAGAACAAGGTAATTACATTTAATAGTTTTAACAGCTTATTATTAATTAGCAGTGATTATAGCTGAAAAGCCACAAGAATTAATGAAAGCTGTTTAATTGTCATTAATTTAATAGTAGTTCTAAACACTTTTTTTCCTTTTTCCTTTCACCTTTCCATTTCTAGACAGAACAACAAAGCAGGAGTCTTGTAAAATGAATTATTTCTCTCTTATTTTCAGCTAACAGAGCTACTTTGGCTCTATAGCTGGTAGACCAAAGCAGTTTCTGTAGCTAAGAATGTGGCTGTTTGGCATTTCAGGTCTCTGTCCTCCCATTAGAATTGAGAGCACTACCACCCTGCACTTTGCTAAAATGAGAAAGAATAAAATACTTTAGAGGCAGAAAATAGAGGGAAATGTGGTTCTTGGTAGTCTGTTGTACTTGGTGTGTTCTTTATGAGATGTGTTCTGTGCTGGAGAGGCCAGGTGGTGCCAGAGGCGGCTGCAGGAGCAGGAGACGGCACTGCCTGACCTTCCTGCAGGCAGGGCTGTCACTGCCCAGCTGTGCCACGAGAGGAGCTCCTTCTTTAGGGCAGCTTGGCTTTAGTACAAATATGGATCTACTCGGTTTTCCAATGACTTCAGTCAAGCTTAACAAAGAGGAGGACAGGGATGTCCTGGTACTCCCAGAGATGTGTGTGTGGGGTATGATGTCTGTTGCTGTGGGGGCTGGAGACACCTTTGGTCACTGGCATTTCAGAATCTGGTGCAACCAGTTAGTGTGAGAGCACAGCCAGCTGTTTGCTAGCTTTCTTGCAAGTTCTTAAGTAGTGATAAAAGGTCTTTCTGCTGTCCTCTGGGTGTCTCAGACCTGACACCAGGGCCTGGCTTTGACTTTATAGTGAATGGTGAACTTTTCAAGGTGAAATAAATTTAAAAAAAAAAGGAAAAATGCAAAAAACCAACCAATCAAAGGAAAAAACCCAAACAAAGCAAACTCACCAAACTAAAACCACCATACTGTCTATTTTGGAAAATATTTTCAAGAGTAATAGGTACCTAGTTTTCAATTTGGTCTCTAGCTTTCTTTTAGCTAGTTTACTGGATGAATCTCCATTTACTTTACTGGTAAACTAATGGTTGTTTGCCACTATATAAGAATCATGCAATGAACTAACTATACATAGTCCCTCTTCTCTATCTCAAATATCCTTTTAATTTCTCTAGCAGGATACAGAATTAATTGTGAATTATCTTTGTGCTCATTTCTGTTTGCCGCCATTCAAACTGGTGGTTGTTCATGTTTGCTTCCTCTGTACTTTTTTTAGAAGGAGCTGTGATTGTCAGGGAACCTGACTGTCACCAGTGTGGTGGGACATCAGCTTCCCTGCTCAGTCTGGGGTAGATCATCTCTCCATTGCACACTAGAGGTTTCTTCTGTAATGTGGGCTGAAGTATCAAGCTAAATCCTGACTGCTTAAACAGCTTATTAGGTACCACAAAAACCACTGTAATATCAATTGCAAGTCTGTATATGCTAAAAAAGGCCAGGCTGTGCTGTCTTGTGTTTGGTTATGGTTTTGTCCAACACTGAGCCCTTTCTAGAGGGGCAGTGCTGGGGTACGAGGAGCTGGGCAGGAAGGACTTCCAGCAACTGCAAACTGGTTGTTTCAAAGCCACTTCTAACAGGTTGCCTCACTTCCATGATGTCCACTCCAATTTCCTCAGATCATTTACCCTGTGTATCTTTTTAACCTCTGAGCACAGGCATTTTCTTTCCCTAGTGTGCGTTAAAATTTCTTTTGGAATTCCTTCCATAAAGTAATGTAGTGCTTGCTTGTGTTTCTGGATTTGTTCCTCCTGGTTTTTGTTTGTTTAGTTTTATTTGTTTTGCAGGCTAGATTTATGTCCTTAACAGAATCAGCAGATGAGGTTTTATACTCTAAGCCAGCCTTGTAGACTACCATCTAGAAACCAGCAATCAGAGTTTGCTTTGCAATTCTTTTTATCTCCTTGTTCTCCAACTCTCAGCTTAGTGGTTTGACCTTTTGCATAAGATATTTTTCATCAGCATTTGCCAAGGTTTTCTTTTTAGCAGTGCTCTGAAAGCATAGAGCACAAATGTTAACTATTTCATATTTTATTTTCTCTGTGCTCCGTTGACTGACTTTTGTGGAAGTAGATTTGTCTTTAATCTTGAGTCAAGAGGTCTGAATGCTAAGAGTCATAATATGTATATATATAAATTATCTTTGATTCATTGTTTCAAATTCCAGGAAGTATTCACATATTTCTGTGTTTTTCTGTAGGTCACATTACATTTGAATCCAATTTCATCAGTGCATATTCATCAGAAGCCTCTAGTGTTTCTTCTCAACTCTCCTTTGCCTTTGGTCTGGAAGCTAAAAACAGAAAGATTGGCACCTGGAATCCGAAGGGTTTTCTTTGTAAGTGTACACAGTCCTCTGGCCTGCTCTCTGTCACAGCTGCTTGTCACATAAGCATGGAGTTAATGCTATTCATTTGGAAAATTTTCAAACTTAAATTAAAAAAAAAAGTTAAGAGAGGGTCAAGTTTCATTGTAGGGCTCTGGGGAACAGTTAGATGGTAGGGCAAAGCAGTTTGGAAAAAGTAGCCTATTACTTGTTATGTGAATTTAGGAAAGGAAAGCAAAACTGCTTTTCAGAATCTGCATGTCATATAACTATTAATACTAACAGCCATTAGAGTTGAAAAAGCTGTGAGGTTATAGCAGATTGCCAGTCCTGATTGGAAGTCCAACAGTACCATAAAGCAAAAAGCCTCAGAGCTATTGGAATTATTAAGAGTGGATGCTAATAGTGTGGTCTGTGACCAAAACAAAAATTTGTATCTATTGAGCTTGATATGTCCAGCTATGCTTTATGTCTCTGATGAAGTTTTGGTCTATTGAAATGACCAAGCTAAGCCCAGAATGAAGTCATTTTTATTTCTCAGAAAGACTGGAGCACTGCTTATAATGCAAGATCCAAATATTACCTAGTATTTGTAAATCATATCCTTACAGTTTGCCAGGACATTCAAGTTTGCTATTTGTAGTGAAACAGACAAGTTGTTTGGATTAAATTTTTAATGCATGACATCATGTCTAATCATGAGTTGTCTTTATGAAAGTTGCAGCTTTCACTATATTCAACTCTAATTGCAGAACTAAACTTGATTATTTTTAGCGGTGTCCTTATAGGGCTTAATTTTGCTCCTCCAGCACGGCTGACAGTGATAGGCAAGATTGTTTCTGCAGCACCCAGGGGGAACTCAGCTGTGTCACTGTGCATCAGCAGGACAGGAGGATGCACTGTGGTGCAGCATTAGAACTCTGAGAAGGGACACTGCTCTGTCAGTTGGCCTGGTGTGGTGGTGACATGGTGGAGGGCACCAAGAGTTCTGTCACTTGCTGGACACTGCAAGCTTTCTGGAATTGTTTTTCTGTTTCCTGTCATCAAGCTGTCATATAAGAGTAGGAGTAGCCTTGATATTTTGAACTTCAAAGGACTCAGTCCTGTTTCCGGTGTATTACTGGTTGGTGCAAAGAATATGGCTCTGTTTTTATTCTAAGGTATTTACAATCTTAGGTTTTTCATTGGTGTTTGGGAGACTCATGACTGTTGTCTTCCTGTTCTGTGTCCTTAATGCAACCAGTACAGTTCTGGTCTGCTGAGAAAATGACCGAGGAACAACATGTGCAACAACAGTGTAACGAGTCCTCATTCCTCTTGTGGACAAAAGAAGCAGGATCTTTCATCAGATAATAAAGCCTTGGACTTACTTCCAGTTTAGTTTTGATCTCCTACAACACATCGTCACTCCTATTTCCTATCAGCTAGTTTTTGTTCAGCTAGTTTGTGTTCTTCCTCTGCACCCAGGATTTTCCCTCTCCCCTTATCTTGCTCAGGGAATGGAGAGATGGCCTGCTGACACTCATGCATTTGTTCTCAGCTGATTGTGCTGAGCTTGCTTGGTTTGTCTCAGTGGGGTTTCAGCAGCCTGCATTAAGGCATAGGAGCAATAGGGATGTGCCTGAGGCTCTGACTGCCAAAACTGTACCATTAGATAAGTGTTTGCTGCAGAAAACTGTTTCAAGTGCTTCTGGTTACAAGCTCAGGCTTGAAGAGGTGAGCAGCAGCAGTCATGGATCTTGCCAAGCAAGACGTTGCCTGACCTCAAGAACTGCCATGGTGAACTTGGCCACTGATGCTGTAGGGAGGGGTGTACTGCTTCTCAGGTGGGGCAGGAATACCTGGTAGGCACTACAGGTTGGCTGCAGAGTTGAGGGGACTCAAATCAAATACCTCCTCTCACAACTCCATCTCCTAATCTCTGGTGGTCATGGTAAGGGCTGAATGCTGTGATGCCTGGTGCCATCCTGCCAGCCTGTGATGCTGGGATAATGCTGCTGCCCATGGGACCTTGCCTTTTTGTTGCAAGGGACTGAACTGGCTCTCAATGTTAACCCATCCCTAAATAGCTAGCTCTCCATAACAATTTTGGATCTCCTTAAGTGCTGTAAGAATTTGTGTAATTTTCCTTCCACCATGTTAAGATTTCTATTTTGCTTTCCTACAAAGAGCTCAAAGAACAAGATTGCATAATGCCAGGGTACTGATCCACCTTTACCTCTCCCACTTTAGTGTCTGTCATCCATCTCACTCCTAAAGTTCACTTTGTTTTTTCCCTAAGGTGATGTTTTTGCTGTAAACATAAGCTAACTTCAGCCTCTTACCATGGATTCATCAGCTTTCCCACTTTTCATGGCTCTGTTTCTCAGGGCATCTCAGGGTGATAAGCCATGAGTTTATGGGCTGAACAACTTTAAATGTGGTCACCATCTGTTGCTTTTCCACAGTTCCACCCTGCTCACAAGGACAAATGCATTGTTTTCCCAAAAGCTTTCTGAAAAAACAGCACAGAATCAGGTGGCACAGAAAACATGAAAAATGTGGAGGAAGTACTGGCAGCACCTGTAGGCAAGTGCAGTATGCCAAACAGAGATCAAGGGGCTCTAGTTCTGCAGAGAGCTGTTTGCCTGTGTTGAGCTGTGCTAATTTGCAACCCCTGAGTTTCTGTGCTAGGAAAGGTTGTCCTTTTCCAGAATCAGGAATTGTTGTTTCAGGTAGGTTGTGGGGCAGAGGGACATCCTGCTTCTGCCCTAGTTGCTGAGAGGTTCCCTGCCTCTGTGCCAGAGCCTTCAGTGAGTTCCAGACAACTGACCCTAGGACTGTAAATAGCAGCTCCAAGGGCTGCAGAGTGCAGAGCATGCTTCCTTAGCCCTTGTTTAAAAATACTTAGCTCTGTGACGCTGACTTGTCCAGTCTCCTTAAATGTATAGCCAGAACAGAAGATTGAGTGTGTTGAATCATAAAAGATTTAGAATTGGAAGAAACTTTTCTAGTGCCCATGAATTCCATGGTAGCATACCACAGGAGTGTCATAACTATTGTGTCTGTCTCTATGGAAGCCTCAGGCAAGATACTAGTTGACTTTCCAGCTTTTCCTTCAGACTTTCCAAACAATACGTTCATTCACCATTTTATTAATGTACTGTATGTAGAGTATGAATTGCAATGACTTTCATTGATTGAATCCTGGTTAGAATGGTAGGTAGCGTAAAGAAATTTAAATTACAACTTCTGGGACTTACTGCTGATAAAGACCACACTGCTAGAGCCAGATCAAAGTTTGTAGTGAAATGATCATGGAACCATTAGTCAAGTCCTAACTCTTTATTTGTTTTTAATATTATCTTTTTTTTTCCTCATAAAGTATCATAATGAAGTTCTCAAACTGTTACAGGGATGTGTGCTTTGAGTAAGTAACTAAATAAAAATTAAAAATTAATTGTATTGTAAGTTTCAAGGTTATTTCTAACAAAGGTGTCTCCAGGATATGAGCAGATGATGAACTGGATCACAAGTGCTGTTAGCACTGTACAGGTGGAGAACCAAGGCACACTGAGCTTGAATGGTGATTGTACTGGAGAAGAGGGTAGAGTCAGGGCTATGTGTTCTCAGAGGCCTCATCAGCAAAATGGTCTGTTTCCTTCATTCTGTGAATTTATGGTTTGAGTTTCCATTAAAGCTAAACTGTCCCAGGGAAGGATGAAAAGATTTAAAGCTTGTATCAGCACATATCCAAAAGACTGGGAAAATACAGTACTACTGAGTTGGGCTGGAGTTTAACTTCTTATCACATAGTTTGAGCATAGATTTTTTGCCTTCAGCCTGGTCCTCCATCAGTTAAGAAGCTTAAAATGAATGTGGGAGAAAATCCAGGCTTTGGGTGCATGGTTATAGTATGGAGGAAGCACAAATTACATTCTTGGTAAACATTTTTTCAGGATGGACATGTAGATTTGGTATATATGTGTGGTTTTGCATTTATTTTTATCATGTAATGCAGTTTCGTGCAGTGATTTATGTGTTTTATCTTCATGGAAACAACTCATGTTTTCATTTTCACAAAATGCCTACTGGTGGCTAAACTCACAGTGGAATAAATTGTCATTAAAATTAGGTAGCATGCCCCAGATAAACCAAAGTTTGTGTTGGGTTAGCATCATGATTTCTTTAATGAAGAGTTTTTTCCAAAGTGGCACTGAGTGGAAGCGCAGTGATTCTCACAGAGTGACAGTACTTTGAGGGAAGCCATCGTGACAGGGCATGGCTGCTAAGGGCAGTTGTGCTTCACTATTCTGTTGCCTGTGTTGTCATTTTGCTTCTCAGGGTGCTTCCCCATCTATAAATCAGAAAGAACACTAGTGAGTAGTCTTAAGAGAAAATCTGGGCATCTTGATACAAACCTGACAAAAATTTCCTGTGTGTGCATGAGAAAGAGAAAAGAATATATGATGTCTGCCTAGTGTGGTGTTAACAATACATTTAGCATGGACAGGTTATTTTCAGACTCTGCATGAATTGCTGTATATTGATGGGTGAAGTAGGTGATGCTGTGAAATTATTGTAATTTTAGTAAAATAAGCCTGGAGTTTATTTTCATTGTGTTAAAAATAAATGTACCTTAGTATCATGGCATTTCAGTCCAAAAATACCTGAAATGGGTTAGTGCATGGACTGCCTGGCCTAAGTAACTGTAAATCATCACTTCAGTTACTGTTGCATGTAGTCATATTGGTCTGATTGTATATTTGTACATGGCTCAGAAATACAACAATTTGGGAATTGGGCCCTTTCTGTTCAAGTGTTGTTGGGCTCATCCCTCTCAAGGGCATTGCATGGGTTGGAAGCTCTATTCAGTTCAGCAAGGAGAATGCTTCTCATCTGTGCTACATTTTATTTTTTTCCTCTGCAGGGAATAAATGCCAAAATTGCATTATAAAGGGGAGGGGGAGAGGAAGTTGAAGGACCTGTTCACATGTGATTAAACTGATTAGATTATGACATCGCAGTTTTAT